GTCCAAGGCTTTAGGAGTTGACAGGCAACTGGGATTTGGAGAGGCTTTAATGCCACAGCAAACTTTCCCACACACGCTGCTACGAATCGCATCCAGCCAGATGGGCCTCACGCCTCCGTGCAAAGGCTGAGGACATGCAACATCTACTGCAACCCACCATACATACATGAGCCTGATGAGGGATTTGGGTTGGGTCCAAGGTTATGGCAAGAACAACCCGAAAAAAAACCAAGCCAACACCCCTGAACCTGCAAAAACCCGAACCCTAAGGGCTCCGGCCACGGAGGGAGAGGACCTCGGTGTGCAAAGGGCCTAATCGGCTTCCTCTAATCTAAGGGTGCCTTTAAGGGAACGAAGATAGTCTAGTGGCCCGTATACTTAGAATTTAAGTTAAGCAGACTTGAGGAATCGTATTTGGATTGATGCGGGCTTCTATATTATGTGACCCCGACCTCAGCCGTGACCTCCGGTTGCCTCAAGGTATGCAACTAGTCACGAATCATTTGCATCTTATCTTCTGGGCTTTGGGGTTTAAGGCCTTCTCAGCTTTAGAGCAGCTATACACATGCAGCCAGGGCATGGCAAAAACCCTAACCAATTAGATAATTGGAGCCGATCTCGTGACCTGCCACTGGTCCAGGATGTCTCTGGAGCAACCGAAAGTCTAAAGCCCTAAGCCTCAGACGCGGCACCCGCGTCCCTAGCTCTTTCGCACATTCAGAACTTTCGTCGCCAATCTTCAGAGTAAGGTGATTTCTAGCAGACCAACCTATCACCCCTGAGCAACATTGGCCCCTATTCACGCCCTCTGGCCTCGGATTTTTGAGGCTTGCAATGTAGAGAGTCAGCATAGGGCTTACATCTTTTGTGGTTACCAAGGGATGGAAACTTCTTCGTTCACATGGTAGGGTGTAGGTTTTGGGGCGGTTGGACTCTGTTGAGTTGAGGTGCAAGTACAAAAACCCGCCAAACTGTGCGTGATAGGTCTACAAAACCCTAGATCCAGACCAAAACACAAAACAAGTTAGCCGCAGCGCTACCCAAGACCTCAAGCATCTTTTCGGAAGAAAGTGCTCGAAGGGTCCTTGTAGATTCGCAAAATCATCGAAACTTTGAAAACCTCTTTCGAACACACGTTGAGAGGAGCCCCAATTCCCGGCCCAAACTAGTATCTTTTGTTGCTGTGCCCCCCTTTCTTCGCATCTTCCGCTCAGGATCGCCCCAGGCGCTGCGCAGAATTGCCAGTTTGGCTTCGACGTCCGGGCAGGCCTTTGAGCACAGGGCTGTTGTTCAAGAGGCCTATAAATTCACATGTTTGGTTTCAATCCTCATAATTTGGCTACTTGCGTTCAATATGTATACGAACATGTGACATGCGTGAATGTGTACCTCTATATATATATATACATACACATACACATGTACATTCACATATATGTTTACATCTATATTGCAACACCTGGACATGAGTTCAAGAACAGCCCACGTTTCAGGGTGAGGGTTTAAAATGCCCATGCGTCAGGACTGAATGAAAGCGGAAGTTTCCACGACGCAGGGCGTGGATCCTTCGATTCATAGGCTGAATCCTCTATGGACTTGCAAGGTTTACCCATAGGCTCCTTAGTAGCTCCTTTTTGGGATTACCTTATAGGGTTCTAAATATGAACCATAAAAAGGAACTACTTAGGAGCCCATGGGTAGGGGTGTAAAGGTTGGGCATGCAGTCGATGTAAGCCTCGAAAGCAGTTGGAGTCATAAGTGGCTTCCTGTGCAGGTTTTTTAGGCAGGAAAGGTGCGCGGCCCAGAAAAAAGTGCAACAAAGCCGAAAGTTCAGCCAAGGGGTCCGGCGAGCTGCTGCTCTACCTGCTCAGCCCAAATAACCCCAAACACCCCTAGGCCGGAAATCCTAAGCCCTAAACCGTACAGTAGTGTCCTAGACCCGAAATCCTAAACCCTAAAACCTGAACTCCTAAAACCCATGTAAGTACGTAACTTCTACCCGAAAAAAAGCTCCCGCCTCTGCTGCAGCTGCATTCCTGAGACCGTCTCAGAATTTCTGTAAGGGTTCTGCAGGGGTTCCGTTCATTGAAGGATCCCCGAGGGGTTCCTTTAATTTCAATTGGACCACCAAGACTCGCACTGCAACCTCAGAGACCCCCAACCCTGCAACTACACCCCTCAAACCCCTAAAGCTACCACTCCAGCACTCCGAACCCTCTGTAAACCAACCTCTGTAACCCCATCTGACACCACCCAAATAACCAGAAACAACCTCAACCTTTAGAGGGAATCTTCGGCCTTCGGGGTGTTGTTCCTACTTACCCTGAAGCCCTCAACCTCGAAGTCTAAACCTCCAAACCCTAAACCCAAGCTCTCAACGCGTCACCTTGAACCCTAAACTCAAAACCCCTAAACCCTTACACTTCTAAACCCCTAAACCCTAAACCCAACAGAGGGCCCCCCTTCAACAGACGAAGCTCTGCAGCACCGCCACAAGAGATCCCCGAGCCTCGGTTTTTTGGTCTTCCCGGGCTTAGGGGCTTGTATAGGGTTTAGGGGTTTAGGGTTTATATAAGGGTTTAGGGTTGGGGTTTTGGGTTTAGGGGTTTAGGGTTTAGCGGTTTAGGGTTTAAGGGTTTAGGGGTTTAAGGGTTTAGGGGTTTAGGGTTTAAGGGTTTAGGGGTTTAAGGGTTGAGGGGTTTAGGGTTGAGGGTTTAGGTTGTAGGCTCGGCGGTCTTCGGGTGTTCAGGGCTTCTTGGGTGTAGGTGCTTGTAGGGTCGATGGTCTGCAGGGTGTCGGGTTCTTGGGTTTTTGTCGGGTTTGGGCGGGGGCCATAGTGCTTAGGGTTCTCAGCGCTGGGAGTTCAGGGTCGTAGGGGTTTAGGGAACAGAGAGGCAGATTCATTGTCAAAGGTTCAGTGTACACGGAGGTGAAGTACGAACCTATACACCTGTAGCAAGAAAGGCAACAACGCCAATAGGTTTAACAGATGAAAAGATGCAGACAGAGATCAGTAGTACTATTTGTTTCAAACCAGGTAGCTTATCCAAGTGTACCTTTATTTCCATGTTAGTACACACATGTCAAGAAGCACATGCCTGTGTAGGGTTTTTTGATTCTGATGATGGGCTTTAGGGTTGAGCCTATGTCGAAGTCTCAAGGAGCTTTGGGAACAAAGAGCAGCCACCTCAAATGAAGCCCACCTTCAGTGCTGAGTTTAGGGTTTCGGGTTCAGGGTTGAAAGCTTCCCACCAAAAGCCTAAGCCCCGAGTTGCCCCACAAGCGGCCTCTGTCTGTCGCAGCAGCCGATGACGCTTCTGGCAGCTGTGCTGTCCTTGGCAACTCTTCCCCTAGGCCCTAGAGGACATAAGGGCGAGAGCAGGGATTAAGATGGATGTACCGGGTTTCTCACTCTGTTGAGGTTGAAAGCGTAGTAAGAAGACTTGCTTACGGCTGCAGAACGATTACTTGCAAGTTGTGTAGCGAGAAGCGACAGAATCAAGTCGCATGGCAAAACAACGAGCTAGTCGAGGAAGAAGGAGCATGCAACTCACAAAGCATGCAGCTACAGTCACATGTGATTTGTTCGAAATACGCCAGCAACCTTTAACCGGCCCAAGCTGCCAACTGACAGCTTCGAATGTCTTAGACGCAGACAATTTGCCTTACTCCTCATGGCCTTGCATGGCTGGACATCTTCGGGCGACGCTTGTGCAGACCCATTCTATAAAGCGCTTGCTGCGGAAACATCTGTGCCATTGAAGAACCTGAAACATGGGAAATGCCGTGAACCCTAATTACCTAGACCCTCCATCTACCCTCTATTAGACCCTAAATCCCCTTAATTTGGGACCCTTTACCCCTATTTGAGGGTACTTGGAGGGTCTTGGCAAGAAGCCCTCAACCAGTAGACTATGGACCCCAAACCCCGCATAATCCAACCCAAATCCTGAGCCCTCGGCCCCTGAAATCCCTGAACCCTCGACACCCACGCCAAAACGTTAAATTCACACGCAACCAGGCGTATAAACCCTAAAACCGCCTAGAACCCTGGACCCCCAAGCTTCACCATACTTCAAAATAGCCCTAAGCCCTAAACCTTAAACCTCAGGACCCCCAGACCCAAACCCTCTGAACCCGGGTTCATAGGGTTTAGGGTTTCGGAACGTTTAGGGTTCGCCGAAAAGCCAACCACCTACAGCCCTTCCTTCGGCCCCGCGGCGGCCATTGAGGTAGCAATGATCCTCGCCGGACACCTCTGTGGACGCCCGGAGGAAGTTGGAGCTGCAAACCTCCAGTCTAGGGGTTTCGCCTGTTTCATATGCCTTTATGGAGTTCTTTTAGATTTTCGGCAGTGTTGAAAGGCTTGCAAATTTGTAAGGCGCTGTAGAATTTATCAGTACGACTGTCCACCTATGGCCGCTGTATAAACTACCGTGCTATTAATATACCCCACACAACCCTATTCTAATCATTGCATAAGGCAGTGCTAGAATTCAAGAACGGAAGCGGCTTTCCAGGTCCAGGCGAGGCATGTTCCTGACGATCCGCTGGAAGGTGATATGACATGCGCGGACCGGGTTCATGAGCACGAGAATCACGAGAATTTTGAAGAAACAGAAAAAGCTGCAACACATCTTAACAGCTGGGTTTTACCGTACAGCTCTCCTTAGCTAGCTAGGCAGAGGCTCCAGATGTGGACCAGCCTACAACCATTCAAAATCGGCGCGAGACCTGTGACAAACCGCAGACCGCTGCTATTTCCTCTGAGTCAATCACTTCATGGGAACGGTATAAGGCTTAAATGCCGACACATGGACAAAACTCTGCTCGAGGGCGGTGCTCGTTACATTTGTAGTGTAGCCAGGAACTTGTATCAAATACAGCGCCCGAGCAAAAGCAGATTATGGCCCCCGAGATGAATTCGAGCCAGTGCTTAAGACTGGCAAGGAAAAGGACGAGGCCGCCACCTGATCTCAACGCAATGAGCCTCACCTGGCCTAACGATAGGCCGGGTTGTAGTCTCCGCGAATCTGATGCTCTATGCTGCAGCCATAAGCCAACTCGATAATCGTCCCCTTGTGACCGCAGGAGCTGGGCCAAGCGATCACGCTCGCGTGCCTCATGCCGCCTCCACCCATGGCAACCGAGAAGACATTCGGCCAACCGCTGACAAAGATAGCCTTGCCATGACAAGGCAGGCCTCCACTGCGCCAGCCGCTTTTGCCACAAACCCTCTTCTCGAGCTTGTGCTTGAGGTTGGATCCATAACCTGCGTAGGAGACGAAGTGGATGTGGAACTGGTTGATGCTGCGATGGCCCGGTGGGTTTACGATCAGGGCACAGTGGCTGCCGCCGCAGCGTGCGTGAGCTGCGTCCATGCCGTTGTTGTAGTAGCCGACATTGCCACCGTTGACATCTTCGATGCCTCTGCCACTGCCCCAAACCTTGTCCCCGCCTTGGGACCAACCAGCAGCCACTTTCACCGCGGCGAAATTCTCGCCACCAAGCAGGTCGCCCTCCGGATCGATGAAGTCCTCGTCCTCAAGCTCCTGCTGCTTCCCGGCGCTGGCCGGTTCCTTTTGCTTCGTACTGTTGGCCGGGAGGGCCGTGATGTTCTGCTGGAGCGCGTGCAAGGCACACGTCCCCTCAGCGCATGCATCCGTTGCCATGGCCTCTGAGAGCTGTGTGGCCTTGTCGGGAGAAGTGGCCCCGGCCAGGACCGCAGCACCAAGCACAAGGAATCCCATGATCATGGCTGCAAACGGCTATGCAGCTACGTGTCTCACAAAATTTGCTGAAGTATTTCTGCCAAAATGGCTCCGGGAGTGGGAAGCTACCCAGGGCTTGAGGGCCTCTGGCCTTGGTGGCCCGGGGCTTCGGGTTTGTAGGGGAAGTCGAGACGTTTCAGAGGTTCAATCGCTTCAGGGTTCGAGGGTTTTGGGAGTTCTGGGGCTTTGTCTAGAGCTTCGGGCAAAGGGTATCAGGGTTTAAAGGTTTCAGGACGATTCGGCTTAGGAGTTTAGCATAGTTTAGCTGTTCTTTCGGTTTCTACTTTTGCCCTCTCGCATGGCTGAGAACGATGCTACAAAAGCTAGGCTTCTTTGGCTATCAAGATGTGCAACAGCTCATGAAGCAAAAACCCTATTTCGACCACTATTCACGAAATAGCCTGGTAACCGGCATCGAAGAGGGATTCCCTACAATGGGCTACTGGGGTTTAGGGTTTTCGGGGCTTTCGAGTTGCATGTTATTATGGCTAGTAACCTACTATTAGGTACATGGAGCCCTGGGTTGCTGCAGCCGAAGGACCATCTCCATCGCAGCCGAGCCCGGCCACGCGGGGAGCACGAGCACAACCTGACGTTGCACTTGCCCGGAATCATATAAGCGTCTAAGACCCTGCATATTCCACCGAAATCCTCCCTCGGTGCAGGGGCACCTGCAGCAACCACCCCAAAAGTTGGAGCATGTACTAAGGATGATGGGTGTTGGGACTGTCTGTGCCATAGCTCGGGGTATGGGGCCATTCATGATGTCAGTCGCGCTGCAGCTACCTGGCATCTGCTACATACCACAAGTAGAGCTTTGGTACTACTATAAGCAGCACCAAGGCCTAATTCATTTGTCAGCAACTTTGATTTCTTAAACCACTTTAATCAAACTTAGGCAGGCCTAAGAAACCCAAATACTTACCAGTCTAAGCACTACTGTTGATGATATATCCTGCATTACCCTATAGAATGGGAATTATGGTGCATTCCGTATTACGGGTAGTGCACCACGTGGCACATTTTAAGCCGCCAGCAGGGCCATTTCTTCAAATGATATCGACGCGCATTCTTCCAAAACTTACCGGCGAAAGCACTAACACTAGAAGCCCTAAAAACAAAGGGGTCATGGCCTGGTACTTGTAGTGCTTGGGGCTGCCGTCGAATTGCGAAACCCTTAAATACAAAGCCCATGAACAACAGCAAGCGTAGACAATTATAACCCCTTTGACAGCCCTAGCTAAATCTGAAGAACCGTTAGAGGGATCTCAAGCTGCCATCCGAGCGGCTGAAAGCGCGGGGCCTTCCGCCGCGAGCGCCCGCAGCAACGCCGCCACGGCACGCGCAAGAAGGCCTTCCTCGAACGGCGGATTGCCTCGGATTTGACCTAAAGCCCTTTACAAGTGGCTGCATTCCACGCTGCATTTGTGACAGCATGACTGCAAAGGCTGTAGGAGACTGAACCACACCCTTTTTTGCAGCAGCCTGGTCAGAGGCCTCTAAACCCTAAGCCGTTTTGAGGAGTTATCGATCCATGGGAAAGGATGGGGGCTTGAGGATGGCGAGGTTCAAGGCTCAGGGGTGTAGGGTCTAAGGTTTATGGGGTGTAGGGTTTTTCGGGAGTTCAGGGCTTAAGCTTCGAGGTGTCGGGTTGAGGCTCAAGTAGGGTTTAAGTATCATGCTTGGGGCTTACCCTGTGCATATTCGGCTCCCTACTATCTGAGTCTATAGTGCTAGTTGAGAACTGAAGCCGAAAGCCTACACCGAAAGCCCTATGTGCACATGCAGGCTCACTCCACACCCTAAACCCTGTAAAACCCGAAAACCCCTCATCCCTATAAACCCTTCACCCAATACCCCCTCCTACAGCGCTATACATGGGCACATATAAGTATATAAATATATAAATATAAATATAAAAAAATATACAACTGGTTTACGTATATAGATAGATATCATATAATATAAGGCTTCAACTAGTCCCCGGCTGTTTGGGCAAGTAGCACTCGAAGCTTCCACCTTGCACGAGAGTCTCTTCGCAAAAGCGGAAGAAGCCGCCCTTGGAGCCGAAGTCTCGATCCGTGTCCTTTGCTCTTCGGCTCACGGTTTAGGAAGTTTAGGGTTTAGGGTTTAGGCTCGGACTCCAGTTACCTAAATCCTAGGTGACTGGGGTACAGAATACATGGCTGGTAACCTACGATTTAGGTAACTGGAGCCCTAGGGCTTTGCTTCCAGGCTGCAGAAATGATGCAAGGAACATCTGCGACCATCAAGATTCGGTGCCATGCTGCTGAGTACGACTAACTTTCAGCCAGGCGTCTGGAAAAAGGGAGCAGTAAGAAGGCAGGGTGCAGTTCAAAGGCGAAGCAAAGAGCTCGTGCTGGACCCCAAACGTCTCTCGCAGGCACTCGAACACCTGCGGTTCAGGGCTCTTCCACTCTGAGTCCAAAGCCCCCAAAACCCCAAGCCGTTAGCCCGGAAGCCCTCGACCCTATGAATCCTTAAGTCCGACCATAAGGTTCCCTAGAGTGTAGGAGTATAATAGGGTTGCAGGTTCAGGCCTGCAGGCCTTTGTGGTTCTCGAAAGCACCGAGGCTGTTGCATAGGGGTAGTTCTCTGAGTTAGCAAGCAGAAGCATTGATCCAAAGTGAGCCCGTAACTACAAGCGCAGAAACAACTTCTGTATCTTATGAAATCATTAACTGTGGGCTTGTGGGAACTGTGTTTTTCCCCACGAACCCGGTTCGACCTCTGGAAGGAATCCCGAACAAAGGACCCTGCTTTCGGAGCTCTTGGTCTCACCTGAAGGGAAGCTCAAGCTCTGGGCTTAGCCGGGTCGGTAGTGAAGCCGGGGTTCGGATTACCCACGGTTTAAGATGGAAGGGTTAATATACCTGAAGTAAAAAGGGGTCATAACCAACCATTTAGCTAGGGCATCGGGTTGAGAAATCACCCGGTGACTACATCCTACAAACTCTTTTTTACAAGTTGGATGCCGCTGCCACCTCGCTGGTGAGCGCCATATGCCAGCCAGCACCCTGCGAGGCCAAGACTTGGTTGTTATACCATGCAGATTGTAAGGGATGGCAGTCCTCAGTATTTGTATATTTTAATGTAGTCTGGCAGTTAGCTAGCTTTCACACTGATTCAGCGGGGCACAAATGATTTGTTCAGGAAGATTTTCGCAAAAGAAGAGGTTGAAGCAGGAACACACGCGCACACAAACAGCCTGCTCTTCACTGCCGATAGCTCGTAGCATCCTGCTCATGGCCTAAAGTACGGAGCTTCAGTCCTTCACCATTTAGTTTCATTGTGCCTGCGGTCAACATGGTTGTTCGTGTTGCTATTCCAACTCCTACACATGATTATTCCAGTGGGATGGTGCCCATAGATGGATATACCAGCAGGCTACAGTGCGAAGTTGAAAGACGTCCAAACTCATGATTAGGCCCAGTACAGGTCTTTGATACCGCGATACCAAGCTGTGCTTCGGACAACAAACCCTGTGCTACCAGTGCCTATGCAAGCGTGTATGCATGAAGCCCTGAACTCCGCCCTTACCCTAAACACTTCGTGAACACAAAGATTTCGATGGCATGGAGCAACAAACTACAGACTTTTATTCTGTAGCACTGGCTGCTGAAGAAGTCAAGATTCCAACAACAACTTGTCAAGTGCAGAGAGGTTAGCAGGAGGCTACACCTCCCCACTGAAGTGGACTCGTGCAATTGCTGAACTTCCCCCTCCTCCGCCCTTGTTCAGGTCTTTAGGGCTTGGGGTGTTGACGGGACCTCATCGTGCGGACCGAAAAGCGCGCGATAGCGCGTGAGGAGGACCTAGGCTGCTGCTACGGGAGCCCGGCAGTTTAGGGTTTAAGGGTTAAGGGTTTAGGGTTTTTTTCCCCTCCCACATAGCAAGGACAAGCCCGCATTGCAGGGTAGTTCGGGTAAACAGAGGGCTATGCATTGGACGACTCTCGCATAATTAACAAGAGCCACTACTGCCATCAGTTTAAGGTTTAGAGCTTAGGGCTTATAGGCTTGAGGGCTAAAGGTTTAGAGCTTAGTAAGATTTAGAGTTTTGGGTTTATAGGGTGTTTAGGGATGACTCCAATCGCATTGACGTGGGAAGCCTAACTGGCAGGTGACTGCCGATCTCAACTTTATCCCCGAGTGTAGCTGCGCACGATCGTTCTCAGAACCTTTGGACCCTAAACCCTAAATCCTATAAACTCTAAAACCTAAACCCTAAGCCAACATATACATATTGTATGACGAACAGTCAACGGCGCAAACTCCTACCCGCCACGCCGTCAAGAAGGCCCTAGGCCTAAAGCAATCTTGGTGTTTCGGAAGCAGGAGACTCAAGTACGAAGCCTAACGTATAGTGTCCATACGTACATACATGCACACTGGAAAATAAGAACAAACAAATGGATCATACAACTTACAATGAAGTTTAACGACCAACATAACTAAATAGAAACGCATATGTATATTAGCAGGGCCCCTGAATAAGGTACCCCTGATTCACGAACCCATAAGCCCGCCCATATGGATGCGAGGAGCCCAGCACTTCGTATTAAAGTCGCCCGAGGTCTCCTCCTGTTCGGGCTGCTTTTCCTTGGGGTTTAGGGTCTGTGGGTTAGGGCTTACTGTTTAGGGTTCAGCCTTAAAGGGGTTATGGTTTAGGGTTCAGCCTGAAGGGGTGCTTATGATCCAGGTCCGGGCTGTGGGTTTTGAGGCTTAGAGTGTGAGTGGCTCCCGATTACCGCAGAATGGAACACTTGTTGAAGCAGCGACCGCAACTATGTCATTTAGTATTAGCGAACTAGTGAGGCGCTTGCAGTTGCTGAGAGCTCGGGATTTCGGTTGTGAGGGTCCTGAGGGTCTTGAAGTTTAGTAGGGTGCGTACAGTCTACGAATCTGGACAAAATCCAAGATCCAGTAGGCTGACAGGCTCTCCTACAGGAGCAACTTCTAAGA